TAGCTGTTCTGGTAGATACCGTTGTGGTTTGTAGCTGTTCTGGTAGATACCGTTGTGGTTTGTAGCTGTTCTGGTAGATACCGTTGTGGTTGGTAGCTGTTCTGGTAGATACCGTTGTGGTTGGTAGCTGTTCTGGTAGATACCGTTGTGGTTGGTAGCTGTTCTGGTAGATACCGTTGTGGTTGGTAGCTGTTCTGGTTGATAGCTGTTCTGGTAGATACCGTTGTGGTTGGTAGCTGTTCTGGTTGATAGGTATTCTGGTTGATAGTGTTGTGGTTGGTAGTTGTTCTGGTTGGTAGTGTTGTGATTTAGTAGTTGACACATGTTGATGAGTTAGGTGCTAGACATAACTAAATAATTGGATTTTATGAAACATCTTATCCAGAGAAGTAAATGTGGAGAAATTTTAACCGTTAGTTCTATTACAGGTCATTTAGTTTATTGTCAAACATTCTGTCCTACTGAGGATTGGAGGTTTAAATTGATGTGTTTGTTTTTAATTAGTTAAAATCCTATACTATTTTTGTAAACGTGGAAGATATTTTGGCCAATATGATATATTGGTTTTATCTAGTTTTTGATAGATTTTTGTATAGTATTTAGCTTTTCAGTCAGTAGTTGAGTTTTATTGTAAGAAATCTAGGCTTATTTCAGACACAACAGATCTTATGTACAGCAAATTATTGTAGCTAAAAAGCACATATTATGAGCTTCTAAAGTAAGCTGTGAATGTTCAATATGAAGTCCTTCTGTTTAGAGTAGTTATTACTATGCATCTGTGATGTTACAGAGAATAGTTAAAGCTCTATACAGTTTGTGTGCATCCTTGATTGAAAAGCTAGGTATATTTCAACTATTTATTGGTTTTTCACACTTTCATTTAACTTTACTTGGAAATTATATGTATTGATAGTCAGAGAAAATAAATTGAAACTTTATATTTAACAGAATATCCAGTCGACCAACTGGCAGTCTATGAGGTTTAAACCTCCACCTCCAAACAGCAGCATCGGCTGGAGGGTAGAGTTTCGACCAATGGAGGTGATGAAACGTGCTCCTATTAATAAATTGTCACTTTTATATATATATATATAATTCTTCGTATACTAAGAAATACAAACAGATGAGATTGTATATGGGTATTAGTTAATTACGTTTATAAATAGTAAGACATGGGACCATGTTTTAAAGGTGGCAAAGCATGATATGTTCCTAAGTATTAACACTATTGCCACGGGCATCCTTTACTGTGCATGTCATGATGTTTGAGTGACTTACATTCAAAATTTAGTTAAACTACTTTTTGTTTATGTTATGCCAATTAGTATAGTGTAAAATTAACTACTAATCCATATTTTGATAATATATAAGTTTTAACTTCTTAATTTTATAAGGCAATATTTAAAAAATCCAGAATTTCCCCTATTGTGAAAAATGTGACATTTTTGTCTAGGCATCCCCTCATATCTATTTTATTCTCCACCCCTCCATTAAGTATGAAATTTAACATAAATTACTCACTATAAAATTGTCATTGCTGAGACAAACCATAATTTTTATATCATTCAATTTTGTTTGGTTACACAACTATCAAATAGAAAATCAGACCCCTTGTGCCCACATCCTCTCTTTCAGGATTTGTTAATAGTTCTCTCTTACTTTTAATACTATATTATCCATAACGAATAGAAAACCAAGGTTTTCATCTATCAAATGACCTGTTATATTATGTTTTTTTCTGAATAGAGAATTGTCATTTTCTTTGTGAGTACAAGGTTTGTTTCCATGGGAAAGATAACTACTAGCTTGGATGAATTTGTAATGGCTATTGTTGCATAGCTAGAAAGCCAGAAAAATTGTCATAGTTAGGGGAAATTGTCTGCTTTTTGCATATTATTGTTCTATGTTCTTTGGTTCATTATTCAAATAATAAGAAAAAATAGTTAATGCATTATTACCATTACTATAAAAAAAAAAGTATGGTTAAGTGTCGTTGACAGTCAACAGGAAAGAAATGAAGACCTGGATAAGTACTTTATTTCTTGTTTTTCATATTTATTCGTTATATATATATTATTATAAAAGTAACTAAAATGTAAAAATAGGGATCTCTTTAGGTTAGTTAAAGTTAGATTAGATAAAATAAATAATAATAATAAAAATGTTTCATGAGGCACATACGCGAGCAGCTCAGAGTAGCTCGTAGGTAATGTAAGCTCCACATTCCCCAAGTAATTTACTATTTATAATGGCATGGACAGTAGTAGTTAGATGTGGTTCAAAGGACAATAAAACAATATAATTTAAGTATATGTATACTGTTACAAGTTTAAAGCTACTTAGGATAAACAAATGTAGTTTCATGTTACAATTTGAAGCCATTCTAGAAAGAAAAAAAAGGATAATTTTGATTGATTTCGATTTTTTTTTTGGTGGTTACGAGGTCGGTAAAATTGACCAACCTTGTATAGAGTTAGAGTAGTGAAATTAACAGATAAAATATAGTTTCACTGAAAACAAACATTTGAAATGTATTTATGGGTTTTTAAAGATTATGCAAATGAAATTTGAGATTTTTGAGATTAAGAAAAGTATTTTTAATCTTAACATGAAAATCACTTTGCACGCGGACTATTAAAAAAAATACTTTATATATTCACGGACAAACTTTTTGTAGTTTATTAAAAATACTTCACTAAAAAAATTGATTTTTTGTATGTGAAAGTCTTGTAATGTTTAGTAAAGTCTGTCAAATTTTGTGAATATATACATACTATATTAAAAGTTAGTAGTACCAAAACTATAAAGACTAAACGAGTACAAAGAGGTCACGTGGTTGGTCAAATCGACCGAGCCTATGTTGAGAGAGTTATAGTATTAAATCATGTTTGTCAAAAGTAAGGCATTAGATTGTGTTTGAGAACAGTAAGGTAATAGATCAAGATTTAAACACAGGACCATGTTTTTAAAAGTGGTAATGCATGGGATCATATTGTTGAAAAAAATATTTTATGAGCACAAGAAAACAAATATATCTGAGTATATGGCTTGTCTATATATCTATAAAGTAATTAGATAGTGGCTTATGTATATCTCAAAACATTATTTTATTATGGCTTATGTGTATAGGTTGGTAAACAACTTATTTAAGAGTTAATACTTGATAGGTTCACAGCTTAGTTATGAAATCTTTATAGTTGCTCTATCACACACAAAATTCTTAGGTTGTATTATATGATCATAGATATGCATATTGGAATATGGGATTTCTATAAGAATATTCTAATTAAGTACAAATAATTATAAACTCATGGTACTAAACCGTTAACCTACTAAATATCCAACTAACAACTCCTAACTTTGAATGACTAATAAGTAGTTTATCATTTATGTTCTTATTTAATATTGAATTGATTTTTATCTCAGGTCCAGCTAACAGAATTTGAGAATGCAGCATTTGTTGTATTTGTGGTACTTCTCACGAGAGTTATTCTTTCTTACCAGCTCAATTTTCTCATTCCTGTCTCAAAGGTATTTATTATGTAACTTTAATCAATGTCTTGCAGTATTCCTGTGTAATTATAGTCAATCCATCATCCCTCTAACATTAAAAAAATTATATCTAGAACAACCAAGGGTTTGTCGTCTGCCTATGTGGAACATAGATCATTCTGGGTCCCTGGATTTACAAGTTCAAATAAACTTACTATAAACATGAGCCATTATGTGTGTGTGTGAGTATCCATCACTTAGAGTTGGCTGGCTCTATTACTGTAATGATAACTGAAAACTATTCGTGGGCTATTTCATTTCAATATTTTTGCCTGATAAGGGGGATACAGTTAAGTAGGTCACATTTCCACTTTTTATAGACCTTTGGCTTTGAATTTAAATATACATCAATTAGTTATTACCTTCCTCAAAGCAGAGTATGCAATTAGCATCTAATGAGGTCATTAGGGATTTAATAACAAAAGAAGGAACATTATCTAACATTTTCGTTTTATACAGTTTTTGCTTCCTTAGTGGGTACCTTCAACTAGTCTTAGTAGAATTAAAATTGTAGGTAGAAAAAATTCTTAGTATTTCTTGTAGCTACACAATTTGATTCTATTGTAGGTAGATGAGAATCATAAAGAAGCTCAGAAGAAAGATGCCGTGAGGGGTAGCACCTTCTGGTTTCGAAGAGACGTTATGACATGTAAGTAATAATGTTTAATCACTATCGGTTGGTTACTAGTTACATGCTTTGACGTGTAAGTAATAATGTTTAATCACTATCGGTTGGTTACTAGTTACATGCTTTGACGTGTAAGTAATAATGTTTAATCACTATTGGTTGGTTACTAGTTACATGCATTGTCTCAATAACAAAGAAAACCTGATGTACACTGTAAATTCAAAATAAGAATTATAATTAATTTAAAAAATAAAGTTTAAAAAGCACAAAATATTAATTTGTTTTTTCCCCTGCAATTAGAGACTGTTGTTTTCCTCTTTAGTGGCATCTGGTGAGTCTCGGCTAATTCTTCTCATAAAGGAAGCCACCTGTGAGAAAACAGGCTTTAACTGCTAAGTGCCTTACATCTGGTGTAAACTGATATATGGAAAATTTAATAACTAACAGTATTGATAATTAAGAGCTTTGTTTCAAATAACCAGTAGCGTTGTATCGTAAAACCTGAAAGCTTTGTTTGAAAGAACTAGTGGTGGTACTAAACAATGTAGGATCTTTGTGTATGTACTTATTGTCTGGTATGTTGTCAGTGAAAGTGATAGTCCACCAGAAGCAGCTTGTATGAAATGTACTGTTCTTCTCTAAATGTTTTTTTATGTGCTTATTATATGGTATTTTGTTAATGAAGGTGATAGTCCACCAGAAGCAGCTTGTATGAAATGTAAAGCATCTGACCAGTCAGAATACATGAAAATGACCATTAATGAAATAATCAATGGAAAGGATAGTGGCTTTCCTGGACTAGTGCCTCTAATTAAGAAGTTTTTAAGCAGTGTTGATGTGGATGTTGACACTCAGTGCACAATACAACAATACTTGGGTCTCATGCAACGACGAGCTTCAGGTAAAATCTGTATCTTTGATTTTGTATCTTATATCTGATAATTGTCCAGTAGTGTTGAGGATGTGAACAAACAGACATCACTAGGTCTCAGTTAAGTATGACATATTATTATTTGAGCTTATCTGTTTGTTAAAATACAGATGTGGTGTTGCAAGTCTAAGAACATTAGTTGTTTGGAAATGTTATATTGAAACAGAAGTTGGAAAAGAACTGTCCTTTAGTTACTCTTTTTACAGGGTTAGTAATACTGGGAAAGCATTACTTGGGATTTTTCAAGTTTTAAAACAACTTTCAAAGATCTTAAGAGGGTATAAACTGGTAATAAATTGTAAAACTTACAACAAAATTTGTAATGACTAAATCTAATTGCTGCAAATGTTAGTCAAAACAAAGACAGATGTACTGATTCAACAGACTTGCTACAGAAATTGAATAAAATATTGTCCAATCAGAAACCATATTGATAGTTAGCCAAGTTAGTTTCATCAGAAAATGCACAAAGAAAAAATTTGCCAAATATATATATATATATGAAGAATAGCATTCCTAATTTTACATCATTTAGGCATGTCTTTCTATGCAGTATTTTAAACTGCAGCTGTTAATATTATGTATTTTACTTTCTTTGCAGTATTTTAAACTGCAGCTGTTAATATGATGTATTTTACTTTTTTTGCAGTATTTTAAACTGCAGCTGTTAATATGATGTATTTTACTTTCTATGTAGTATTTTAAACTGCAGCTGTTAATATGATGTATTTTACTTTCTATGTAGTATTTTAAACTGCAGCTGTTAATATGATGTATTTTACTTTCTATGTAGTGTTTTAAACTGCAGCTGTTAATATGATGCATTTTACTTTTTATGTAGTATTTTAAACTGCAGCTGTTAATATGATGTATTTTACTTTCTATGTAGTAGTTTAAACTGCAGCTGCTAAAGATATAATAAATTCAAGAATTTCTCTGTTAATACTAATTGACATTTTGGAATTTATTTGACTGGGTGTAGGTATTTGTTTATAAAATTTTGAGAGAATGTACATCTACATTTGTTATAACTAAAGGTATCTTAACATTGATTGAACACCTAAAGCATAATGTAAATTGATAACGATTTTCCCACCCTAAATGAAACAAAGTGGAGACGCTGTGTAACAAGGGTTTATGATAAAAGATGTATAGAATATTTTACTGAGGATTCATATAGATTACAGCTTGTTCTTCCCTTCCTAGGTGAGCTGATGACAACAGCACGATGGATTCGAGAGTATATCCACAACCATCCCATGTATCGTCAGGACTCTGTGGTAAGCCAGCAAATCAACTATGACCTTCTGAATACAGCTGACAAAATCCAGACCGGTGACCTTTTGTGCCCGGAGCTACTAGGAAGTTTTCAAAGTAAAACAAAAGATGACATACCAAATGCCATACAAAAAGCAGAAAATTGCTATGACCATGTTAACTCAGGTGGACAGTTAGAAGATTGTTACAGCCATTTGAACTGTGTTGAAGGAGAGAGTTGAATAGTACTTACAGTAGCAGAAGCAGTTTAAATTCATTACAGGGTTTATTTTTAATATAGGGCTTATGTTTATTACCTTTTATGAAAAGAAATTTCACCATTAATCATTTGTAAAAATAAGAATTATCACAGATCAACACTTTCTAAATAGAACATAATTGTGTAATCCTTGATATTTGAGACAAAGCATAATCAGTCCTTGTGCATTGTGTGCTAAAAGTATGATTTACTTTATTACAGAAATAAAATACATAAATTCCATCACACCCAGCCAAGTACGAAGTATCGTTTGTTTCAGATAAAACTGTGCTTGTTTTACATTACTTTGTTTTTTTGAAAACGGTGATTAAATGTAGAAAGCTTAAATATTTACAGGGTTTCCACACTTCCTAGACACTTGAAAGAGTCCGTTTTGTGTTTGATAACAGTGTGAGTGCAGTAGTCGAACATTGTCAGAAGTTATTGTACCTAATTTGAAATGTTTTACTTAACTAATTACATTTTTAATGTAATATTATTTTTATTTCTCTATTGAACTTGTATAATGGATTTACTTAAGTAAAAATAAATATGATATTGGCCTACTACTATTTGTTTTCATAAAATGGAAAATATTTTAAAATATGTATTTAATACAACTTGTATATGAATCCAAAGATAAAATGGTGGTAAAGGCAAGATGACTTCATATATATTATCTTTAATAATTATTATTACTGTTACTTCACTATCCCTTATGGATATTTCTGTTACTATTGTTGGATATTTCTGTTATTGTTGTCAAATTGGTTCTTCAATTAAAAAAAAAAAGGTAAATGATTTTTTAAAATTGATATAAATTTCTTTGCAAACAAGACTACATAATGGACTAAGCATAGAATGTAATATGTGGTTGTCTATTAGAAGGTGAAGGGTGAGTTTTATCGGTCTAAAATTAGTGATTAAATGTCATAAACTGCAGAACATTTGAATGTTGTTACAGGTTTCATGTATGACTGTACGTTCAAGTCGTTTTTCTATTTGTTCTTAAGCATAAAATTCTCTTTCAGTTCATTATCAGAACTTCATCTACAACAGGTAAGAAGAAATGACACTTATGTGTTATATTGTGTGTTTGTTTACATATAAAACAAGCCAAAAGTGTTGAGATACGTGAATAGTAACTGTGTAATTCTTATGTTGATAGAGTATATCCAGTCTCGTTACAATGAAATATTGTAATTATATAATGTGATTAAGGTAACTACAATTTTTTGCTAATCTTTTAAAGTAAAAGATGTTTTTCTTCTCCACAAAAATCTGCCCAGATGTATAATGTTTTACACAATTTGATTGTAGTTTACAGTGTTATCATTACACTACAATTAATCATTAAATGTTTTTTGTATGGAAGTGTGGGAATCCCAATAATTGAATCTCTTTATCCTCTAAATAATAAAGCTTTAGGGACCAAAATACTCAGTCATTCCCAAAACTATAAACAAACATCTGTCTGAACAGAATAGTACAATTCATTAATGTGGTTTTTGGAAGGTATTAAACACTACAATTCTAATTTTCATTTCCTTCATTGGTGAAAACAATTGTTTTAAGATTTACATTCTCACACGCATAGTGATTTTCAGCAATTTCCAAGTTACACTATGTGATGATGTATAACACTTAGTTGCATTCAGTTCCTTGCTCAACTTGGTATAGTGAAGAAAAAAATCAGCATCTTAGTTTTGCATGGACTGGAATTGTTACAATTCATGAAACAATAGCTAACTTGTGTTAATTGAATATTCATAGGGACAATCTTCAGCAGGCATGTCGGAATTAATTTAGAGCTGTGGATGTTGTATGAATTGGAATTATTAATGTGTAGGTTGTGGCAAATATTCCCTGTTGTCGAAGGTGAATAATATCCAATATAGTTATACACACATTTATTAAAACAGAAGTAAGACAGTATATCCACCACCCTACAGACAAATGTTATGACTTGCGAAATAGTAAAAAATATGAAGTTCTAATAATTGGAGGCAGAATTTACATTATCAATTTGAGCAAAATCCTGAAGTAAGGTATAAACTATAGTCACTGCACAAAATCTGCAATAACGTTGGGATCTACAGGCTTGATGCTGCAGTTTAGGTTTGATAAGTACTTTAAAAGAAGAAATGTGTTATATTTATAAGGAAATATTGATTAACATTTCACAGAAATTGTCAAGTATTTGAAAAATAAATAATGTGTATAAGCTGTACAATTCAGAAGCAAAAGGGACTTAAGATAATGTTGTACTTCTAATTGGCTAATCTGATTCTTCTGTGTGGACATTATCTAGGCAGATCAATTTTATTCTTGAATATGGCTTCACTTGGAAACAATACACTTCACAAGTACTGAAACATTTATAAACTTAAATGATGATAAGAAATGGCTACGTGCACTTATAAGAAAATCGGAGCTAGATACTTCCAAATCTAAATATTTCCCAGTGATCTGTACTTAACATTCAAGATTAAAGTGTTCAACTATTAAAATATAAGAATCCTAAAACCCCACTAAACAACACTAAGAGCAATGGAAAGAAAGATGCTAAAGATCAAACTACAGGATAAAATTCTGTGTTTGGAGACATCTCCAGAACACATCGCTCGATTAAAAGAATGGCAGAGATCAAGAGGTAGACCACACAGAAGATGGCATGATGACATCACATGGCAGCAGATAGACAGACTTGGATGTCTTTGGCAGAGGGCTATGCCTTGCAGTGGGCAGACACAGACTGGAATGAAGAATCCTATAGTAAGTGGTGAACAGCACTAACTGTTAAGAATAATTATCATAGTATTATTATATTATCTTATTCATATAAGTGATACACATTTCAGATATGGCCCTAATATTGTCTGGAAACTCATTGTTCCTGTGAAGAAAATATATTATCTCCTAACATGTCAATTCTAAGGTCATAATTCCCAGCAGGAATCGTATGCATTGTGAACTTATTCTGGTTATATCAATAAACCGCTGATCATAAAAACAATTCTTCTTATTGGCCTTGATGTTGCATAAACCACAATGCCATCCAACAATACAATAGGTTTCATTTGTAGATGACAGTTTTCATCATGAAAGGAAGCTTCCTCCCATTTTCTTAATAAACAGTCCACCAGTAGCTCCTGTCAAAACCCAACTTATGACAGTCCACTATCTTCAGCTACCATTTGTAGTTCCTGTTTAAACCTCCAACTTATGACAGTCCACCATGTTCAGCTATCACTGGTAGCTCCTGTCAAAACCTATAATTATATACTTTTTAAACTATTGTTTCCTGTGAATGCATCCACACTTAATATCATACTTTTAATTTTCTATAGATATGAAGTTGATCCAGATTTAAACTTGATCTGATTGTTTTTACAGTGTCTGTTTTTAATGTTCCACTGGTGTAAGATGTAACGAGGATGCTTAATACAAAGTTGATCTGATTGTTTTTACGGTGTCCTTGATATTCTACTGGTATGAGATGTAAAGAGGATATTTAATACAAACTGGATTTGATTGTTTTTGATGTAAAGAAGATAGTAAATACAAATTATATGTTTGGTGTTGGTAAAAGCTATAGTTACTTAAGCTGTAAGAATATTAAAGTTTTCAACAGGAGTGTACATTTCATTCTTTATTTTGTATGTGCATGTAAAAAATTTTTAGATTGCTGAATTTAAAAGTGTGTGTGTATATACACACACACACACACACACACACACTGATATAGAGCAAGCATCAGTGTGGCAGAAAGTATGTAATACTGCTGAAATAAACTAATACAGCTGTGTGTGCTATTGTTGCCCAGAAACATTTCTTCTTATTTTCAGTCTGTTACTTTAATTAATCTTTGATTTTCAGATCTTTGTGATTGTAACAGCATTAAGAAAATAAAACAGTAGACATTGTGTACTTCTGAATTTATTTAAACAGGTATGATTAAAGTAGTATACAAACATTATACATTCATAACTCGCATGAATTAGAGACAAACTATTACCTATACTGCACAGCTCAAGGAACTGTAATCAACAAACTGATCTTCATGACTTGAAGACACTGTAAGCCACATACTTAAAATTATTGAATAAAGACAGGTTATAACCTAAAAGCCAACCATGATTAAAATCACAATATGGAAACTTTCATAAACAGCAGTTTATGGTCAAAGACCTTAGGCTAACGAGTACTAAAAAATGTATTACTGGAAATGAAATGGGTTTCTCACATGTACAACACAGAATGGCTTCAATAAACTATGGAGACTGACCAACACACACTGGGTTTCTGACATGCTACAGGTCACTGAAAAAAGCTACCAGAAATGAACTGAGCTTCAAATGTGTTACCCAAACTGATCTACACACCACTAAACTATGCTTAAAAGAAAAAAAGGAATGGGGACTGGACAATGAGCTTCAGGCTTACAACTGAAATGAAAACTCCTTTTGGCATGAGATGAAGACCAGACAACATACTACATGAGTTTTATATAGAGACTGGCTATCACACATTACTGGGTTTCAGATGTGTTACATAGACTGATTATAACCCACAATCACTAAATACGAGTGCTGAATTACAATTGAACTATCATATTAATGGGTAATTTGTCTAAGAAAATGGCTATTAATCATTGTTTAATCTTGAGACTGAAATCTTTGAAAATAGTGGCTGGAAATATATATGAGAAACTGAAGCCTATTTTTGTAATGGTAAGTAACTCCAATGTAAAGGACAATGCAAAGTCTTTAGCCTAACAACCATCTTTTTTTCTTGATATGTAAAATATAATGTGGTGAAGTTGACTGATAAAGTTATCTTTCACTCAGACTAAACAGTGGTTATTGTCTGATTACTTGGTATTTAACATGTAGAAATGACAGATGCTATTTAAGTTATTAGAGGAGATTAATAGTAGTAGAAAAGTAATAACAGTATTAAAAAGAAAAATGCACAATGATAAAGTAAACAATAAAAGTAGTTGCTATCAGGCAGTTGCTTCCTTGTCATATGGTGGTTTGGAATTAGTAATACCTGAAGTGTGCACTGACAAATGTGCTACGACAGGATTCTATAATTGGAGGAAAGAGAGCCTGGGCTAAGGTCCTCTTGCATGTAAATCAGATCAGTTGAAATTTCTGTAATGTATACAGAGGATTAATTAATTAATTTAATTAGAATGATTTACATATGTTAGTGCAGTGTAATGTTATCACAAACGTGAAATATCCGTCAGTCGCACATATATTACTATAACTCTATGCGAATGACGAAAATTACCGTTTTATTGTGATTCATGACAACTCAGTTTTATCTGCGAGTCAGAAAACTGTAACTGAGCTGATCCTGTATAGTTAATGGGTTAATATATGTTAATGCAGTGGAATGCTATCACAAACATAAAACATGACACTAGTGGTTACAGAATGATTTATGTATGTTAATGTAGTGGAACATTATCACAACATGAATCATGACTTTAGTGGTAACGGAATTTTTTATAGATATGTTAATGCAGTGGAGCGTTATCACAAAAATGAACCATGACACTAGTGGTTACAGAATGATTTATGTATGTTAATGTAGTGGAACATTATCACAACATGAATCATGACTTTAGTGGTAACGGAATTTTTTATAGATATGTTAATGCAGTGGAGCGTTATCACAAAAATGAACCATGACACTAGTGGTAACAATGATTTATGCATGTTAATGCAGTGGAATGTTATCACAAATGGGAACCATGACACTAGTGGTAACGGAATGATTTATGTACGTTAATGCAGTGGAGCGTTATCACAAATGGGAACCATGACACTAGTGGTAATAGAATGTTTTGCATACATTAATGCAGTGGAACGTTATCACAAATGTGATCATGACACTAGTAGTAACACCTTTATATTTAGCTTCCCTACCATTTGACATAACACTGCTGCTATGCATGGGCTAGAGAGATACATCATGATGGAGACTGTTAAATGATGTACAGCTAGAGGCCACATTTTGAAGAAATTTGCATCTTGTGCTGACATGCAACAGTATCATTGTTACAATAGCTGTGAAACTACCACTTGTGATCAGGCCCCACTCCTAAGAAAAGAAACAGTAAAGATTCTGAAAGCTAACATCACTTAAAACACCCTTACCCAAGAGTTGAGCAGAACTTCTCTAGTTATCTATTATTTTAAACTCACACATTTTTAAAATACAATTCCATTCACCCTAACTTACCAGAAACTTGTTCTAAAATTACTGTTTTTTCATTCTGATATAACAAACATTTTAGTAATCAAGTACATTATAATGCACCAAGGAAGACAGTTAGGCATCCTCAAATGCAGATGTTTGTATAAATCAAACTTTAAAAGTGTCCTAAAATTACTATACTGCTGATTTTACAACTAAAAGGATTTTATTTTATTTGATACATACAAAAAGAGTAAACCAATTTGAGTAGGCTACCACATAGCAGTGACTATAAAGCAAAAAATTGGTACATAAAAAAGGGTTCACCTCCAAAGGCTAAAAAATCCTGATGATGCTAAGCAAATGGAAAGCTATTGACTGGCAGCCATAGAAAACGATTATTGGACAACACAGACAATAGGTGCAGTAGAAGAACATTTAGATGAGCTTTTTTTTTTTTGTCAGAAAAAATCTACCAAAGATAATATAACTGGCTGGCAAGATCTATTCCCTGATGACCATGCCATACTTGAAAGCAAATAGAAAGGAAGTGGGGCTCTAATGAAAAGTTTAAAGCCAAATAACATGGACTAAATGAATCAATATCATCTGGCCATGAAGGAGTGAAAATGGTGAAGTGGAAACCAGTTCTTCAGAAAAATGTAAAAAGACTCTAATGTACTAGACTTTAGGTGTAATTGCAGTTACAACTTTATTTCTAGACC